TCTGAAAACCCTGTCTCACCTCCCCCACAGGGTTGCGGGTCCTCGTTGACCCGCCACACACGCTCTGACCAAGGTACCAAAAGGACCAAGGTACCTAGCCCGGTATTCAGCCCAGAAAAATCTCTTAGTGTCAAATGGATGGCTGCATTGTGTCAGCTCTACGTCGTACGTATTTTTAGATTTTTAAGAGACTGCTCTTTCCTGCCCTCTTCCTTTCCTTCCCTCTGCAGAGGCGCCAATGTGCCCGCAGAGGAAGCAGCTGTGAGGGGGTGGCAGGCACTCTCCGGAGACTGTAAACTGACTGATCAAACAAGCAAACACACTGAGGACAGGAGGAGGCAGGTCTCTCACAGCTGGCAAAGCGATTTACAGACACAGAAAGGAGTGGACCGAGGTGTCCGGGGGAGCTCGTGCTTGTTTGTTTTTAATATGAGTGTGGAATGGCTGTAGGTGTGCTCGCGTGTGTGTGCACACCAGCGTGTCTTTCCTGGCTCTTTCCACCAAGAGGTTCTAGAAGTAATGAAACTCCAGGAGCAACCCGCCGAGGCCCTGGTTTGTAAATATTGTTGGCTCCTCTGAATCCAGAGCTGAACAAGTACAAAATGAGCCCAGAACAGCTTGTGCTGCCAAAGAATTGAAAGGCCTCAAAGAATGATGGGGATGTGTCAAAAGCAGCCTGCAGGGGCTCGCACCTGGGGGCGCATCACAGTCAACCGTGATCTTCACGGGTTACGGCCTGTGGAATACATGAGTAACTGTGAGTCAGTCATGACACAGACAAATAAGGAAGGAAGAGCTCTTTCTGCTGCTAGAAAGGCAACCACAGATGCAGAAGGAATGATGGAAACAGGACCCCCTTTGGCGACCCTCACTATGCAGCCTCAAGCCGTCATGCGGGCTCAGGCAGAGGGGTGGACAGTGGTCTCGGGACACCCCTCAGAGCACGGTGGTGGGGTTGCGGCTCACTGAGTTGCACGTGGTATCATTTCCGTGGAGCTCCTGACCCAGCGTCACCTTGGCCTAGACACATGGTGTTAGACCCAGACTGAGTGGTCTGCGGCTGAGCTGCTGCGCTGGCCTCAGAGCCCCAGCAATACGTGTTCACTCGTAATAATATGATCATCTAACACGTGTAAGAACATACGCCTAATAATGTGTGTGAAGAACCTGGACCAGTGTCTGCACAGACTACACATCTGTTAGTTTTCTTTTTGAAACGAGGCAAGCCATTGTTTTTCCAAGTGCTCGTGCTGTAGGCATTTCTAAACCTTTCTAAAGTTAGGTGCACTTGTCTCAGAAGTCTTGTGTGTGAAGCCACCCACTAAGACCTTACGTTGCCAAGTCCAACAGACCCAACAGACGTGTCTCTGCTGATTTCAGCATACAATAGCAGATGCCCTTGCCCACCCACTCCCAAGCCCAACCTTGCTGCCTGCCTCTTCCAGTCATTTCTGCGCACTTCCCGCAGCTGTGCCACCTCCTCTTGGCTGCAGCCCCAGCCCTGATCATCCCAACCCACCTGTCCTGCCTTGCTCACCCACCTTGCTCACCGGGCAAACAGCACCCCATCAGGAGCTCTCCATCCCCCACATCCAGCAAGCACTGCTGCCTCACCCCAGAGCACATTGAGGCCACCCCACCATCACTCTGGCCACAGGGTCTCCCTGCTTCCTGCCTAACCTGGCCCACCTCTCCCCAGTGGATGTGATCCTTTCCAAATAGACATCAGACTAGGCTCTGGGGACTGGCCTGTGTGTCCTGGCCCTGCCCACCTCCCGTATGTCCACACAAAAATTACTTGTACGTGTATATTAATAAGAGCCCCCAAACTGGGAACAGTGAGTGATTCTTTAAAGATGTATTAGACATCAAGTCCCATCGCCCCCTGCTGGAACTCGCACAAAACAGCAAGTGGCAGTCGGAGAAGGCAGGGATGGAGCTGGGAGTGGCCGGAGCGGTGGGAGAGGGCAGGGAGGAAGCAAGGTCTCCCATTTGTTTAAGTGGGAAACAGCGGAGGGGGCAAGTGATGTGGTCCTTTCTCTTTGGCATTGCACTGAAACAGAACACAAGGGTGACTTTCTGGGAAGCTTTGTTAAAAATTGTACTCCCCTTGGACTGGCACCCAGCAGCCACTGCAGCAGCACAGTGGGCCTCAGGTATAAAATCGGGCTGGATATCAAATTGCCAGCACTCTCAGCCACCAGTCTTCGTCAGGAACTCCCGGAGGGTTCTTGAATGCAGACTCCCTGCATGTGGCGAGCAGCTGAACAAACACATTTGAATCCTGGCCTCAGCATTCCTCAGCCGCTAGGACAGCCTTGCTGTGGAAGGCTGGGGGCTCCAGAAGGGAAGCCCCGTGCTGGCCAGCAGTTAGTGTGCTCTGCGAGCCCCCCTCCCCACGTCTGCCCCACATCCCAACCTTCCTGACAACATCCGTGGAAGCACAGGCTTCCCCTTCATTTTCCTTTGCACACCAGCACTCTCAGGGTGTGCAGACCACTCAGGCGCACTAGGAAGAGCCCGGCCAGGTGCTTCCTTTCTCTGGGCCTTAGTTACAGTGACGGCAAACGTGACTTACGTAAGGTGCTTTCCAGATCATGTTTATAATTTTCCAGTTAACTCTGTGTGTGTGTGTAAACTATTTGAAAATACATTGTATATATCTCTGCCTTATCAGAGTTATGTCCATCTTAAATCTTTCTTGCTGATTTGGTCATCTTTTATCAGTGTCAATTATAGTAACATGTGAAACGTTGAATCTTTGTGAAATGTGCTGATCTCATGCCAAATGACCTCAAGCCCACTTTGTATTTAGTTATATCATTTTTCGTAACTTTTCTGTCTTCTCCTTCAAAGCCACCTGTACACTTGTGTCAGTGAGACCCGCCCTTTGTATTTCTAGTTGTCAGTGATGGTTAACCAGGATGCTATTCTTTCTGTTGTCCATCTGGGCTGTTCATCAGCCTTTAATTGCTACCTTATCAGCTGTGCTCTGAATGGTTGAGGTTCCCAGACAAGTGAATGAAGCTGGATAAATGGAGCAACATTATTAACTTAAATGAAGAGACTTTGCACACAGTCCCAAAAAAGCTCTCCAGAAACACATACTGAATGCCTGACCTCTTCCTAATGTCAGCATTTCTACCTCTGACTTTATTTAAAAAACTAAAGGGAGTAAAGTACACTTTAATTTTTAGTGAAAGCATCTAGTTTAAACTCTCCTGCTCACAAGGAGAGGCTTGGAGGCGGAGATCTGCTCAGATCTGCTCCATCTGCTCCCTGTGCTCAGAGGCCGAGCCTCGGCCCCGCGCTGGAGCTGGCCTGGGCCCAGCCGTCACAGGAGTCCCAAGTGCTGCCGCTGAGCACAGCCTGGAAGCCAAACTGCCACGTTCACATGCGCTCCTCTGAGTTCCTCATGCAGTTGTGATTCACTAAGAAGAGCCTGTGGTTTAAAGATCAACCAGCATTTTCCAGTTAGGTATATATTTTCTCATCAAAACTGTTTTGCTGAAATTAGTAATTGTCTGTAAGCTTAAACCACTCCCCACCCCCCCAGCCCCCGGCCTCTGGCTGGCTCAGCTCGGCTTGGCATCTAGACGTGTCCTCGCTTTGTCGGGTCTGCGTGCGCGAGGCGCTGGCCTCCCACACTGGCAACAGCTCACGATACAGGGGCTGGTTGATTTAAAAGCTGTGACACGTCTTTGTCCCCATGCAACCTCATTCTAATCTGGTTCAGTCTGGCAAGTATCTGCAGCCTGAAGAGGGTCTACCACCCACACATTCAGCCGTGTTCCCCTGTCTCGTGTTCTCTGACAGGGCGTCAGGCTGACACTTCTCAGGCGAAACCTCACTCACCTCACTCTCTTTCCATGAGGCATGAGGAGGCCACGGCAGTTTTGGTCATGCTGGGACTGCATCTGCCTAAGCATCATCCTCAGGCTTCCATTTCTACATCACGTGCTCTGAGAGGGCAGAAGGGGCGGAGTGTCTTTCAAAGACTGGCCCTGGGAACCCGACACCTCCTGGTGGAGCCTACGGTGAGAGTGCGGCACATCACCCCTGCAGTCTGTTCTCAAAAGAGCAGACAAAAAGACAGTTTTTAAAAACTGAGAAGATGGGGCCACAATTACTCTTACCAGTTGTGAATATGTATCTTCTGTTCAGGTTCCTGTAAAGCAAGCTTTGTTGTTTGTTGTTGTTATAATGATCTAAATTAATGTGTCAGTTCTGGTATGCCAGAAGCTCCCACAGAAACAACCAAATATGCCCAGAATTATCACATTATATGGGGGGAAAACAAACCTTAGAGTTGCAAGCCTAGAAATTAGTGAAATTCTGCATTATTTCCCTGTTTTAGAGAATGTCTTTGACTCTAAAATGGTATATGATCTCATCATAAGTTTTTACCAAAACATGCACTTTCCCTTATTGCAGTGGGAGCCAGGTGCCTCGACCTGGCACAGTCTGAATACCTGGGCAGGGTCCTGCCTATGCCAGGAAGGTTGCGTGGGCTGGGGGCCATTCACGTGCGTCCTGAGGATGGACTAGGAGTGTCCACCGTGACAGGGGCTGGCCACCGCCTTCAGAGCCTCAGTTCAAAAGGCTTTTGAGGTCAGATGCTAACACTGTCTGAGTAAAACAGTCCTTTAGCTTGGGGAGTCACCACCTGACCAGTCATCCACAGACCAAGGAACTGTCCCAGGTGGGAGGAGCATGGAAAAACTGGTGAAACTGGAATAAAGTTGTATGGTGGTTGTGTAAAATGTCAACGCTGGGGGAGGTGATAACTGTGGGAGCCTGGAGGCTGTGTGGCCGTGGAAAGATCTAGAATGGGGTGGGTCCAGCAAGGGCAGGAGGCAGTTGACACCATCAGATGGTACGTGTGACACTTGGACTCTAATTTTCAGGCAGTCACCGGGAACAGTGTCTCTGCGCCCATCCCATGGCCCCTTGCTCCTCCCCCGTGGATCTGTCTGTAACCATTTCTTCTCCCCACACAGGAAAAGTACCCAGATACCGTGCACCTCTCAGAAGGGGCCTCGTCCCACTGCATGGGGATCCGGAGTGCCAGCCGGCCGGGGTGAGTCTGCACAGGCGCCGTGGGACCGCCTCTTAAAACAAAGAGTACAAATAGAAGATAAATGTAAACCACCAACCGAGAACTAAAGATCTTCAGTTGGAGGAATCAATGGAGTCACACCGGATACGTGCCCCACTGGAAGAGGGTGGGGGTGGACCACGCTCTGTAAACGTTACCTCGGAGAGGAAACGTCTACACAGAGCGTGGGAGAAAGTGCTGGGCTGCAGGAGGAAAATGCTCATCTATCCCAGGGCCAGCGGGTGACAGTCTCACATGGCACCCTTAGCAGGCCAAGGACGGGTGGCCAGAACATGGAGATGTGGGCGAACCCGCTGTGATTTCAGAAATGGAAGGGGGTAAGCCAGGGGTGAGTGGAGAGCCCCCAAGAAGCCAAGCAATCAGAAGAACTGGGGAGAGCAGGTTCAGGGCTCCAGCTTCACAGCCAGTCCCTTTGCTGGCCCCGGGCACCTCCCTGTCCCACGCTCTGCCCGGAGCCACCATCCACGTGTACTATTTGCCATCCAGTTGCCTTTGTGCATGTGTGTACATCTCTCAGAATGTACTTTTATGACTCGTGTATAAATGCCTAAAAACTTTGGTTTTCAAGCCTTAAAATACTGTGGTTGTTAAGCAGGCTTCTGGGACTAGCCTTTATCAACAGCAGCCTCCTCTGGTGTCACAAGTAGCTGTAGTTCATTTTCACTGCTCGTCTCCGAGTGGACGAACACACCACAGTGTCTTTGTGCATTCTTCACGTCTTGAGCGTTCGGGTCCTTCGTGCCAGCCCGTGCCTCCTGGCACAGCACACAGGCTTCTCTTGGGCTTGTGTGCCTAGAAATGAAATTCCTGGGTCATGGGGCAGGTGTGTGTTCAGCTCTCTATCAGCGCCAGATTATTTTCAAAGTAGTTCATCAATTTATATTCCCACTGGTCATTTATAAATTCCTGTTGCTCCGCATGCTGTACTTCACTTGGATTGTCGTACTGATTTTTGCCAGTGTAGTGGAAACAAAGCAGTATCTTACTGTGGTTCTAATTTCCATTTTCCTGTGTAACTGACTATACTTTTCCTTCCTCTGTGCGTAGATGTCTTTAGGAGCAAGGGAACCCAGCATAGACAGACAAGAAACTAGGTGCTTGTTAACAGTTTAATTTTTCAATCAAATTTTAAAAAATACTTAATGATGTATTTTACCTCTTTTTCAGGTTTGAATTATTAATTATTTGGAAGATAAAAATAGATGAAGAAGGGAAGGTTTCGCCAAAGCTAGATCTTCTCACCAAAGTCCCACGGCGAGGTAGGGACTCTGGGTGTGGGTGTTCTAGGTAACTTCTCAACGTGCCTGACAGAGCAACCAAGAGTAAACATGGAGCCACCAACTTGAAGTTTCTTAACCAGTTTTATGTTTTCTTTGCAGCCCTAGAACTGGACAAGAACAGAGTCATAGAAACTGCTCCTCTCAGCTTCCGAACCCTGCTAGGAGTGCTTGGCATAGAAGCTGCTCTAGAAAGCCTGATAAAATTGTTTTGCACAGAGGAAAACAACTAGTTCCAAAACAGTGAATGTGTAGGAATAAATGCCGCACTTAAAAGCACACAATTTTATTGAATATAGACATTTGCTATTTTCCACTTAGAAACCACACCCTTAAAACATGCTGTCTATGCAGTTATGGCACATTATATATACTCTCATGACATCAAAAATAAATACAGCAATTTATGTATAAAATGCCAAATAAAACTAACATGTATAGTGTGTTTTTTTTTAAATAAGCTTAACATTTGAGAAAATGTACCAAGAGTGGTTGTCCATCCTTGGGTGTGCGGGGAGGAGCTGCGTCCCCATACGGAGTCTGCTGCGGAGATGGCTGCTGCTCAGTCAGGCCGGGAGAAGCCTCCCGTCTCCTGGCTCCTGCCACCTGGAGGCTCCAAGGCAGTTGCCCGTGGAGCCTCATTTCTCCTTCTGGTCTGCAAAGTGGCACTGCGAGGCAGTCAGCATCCCTCAGCAAGCCCCGACACTTTTTTCTTGGTCTTCCACAAAAATGTGGAGCCATTAGCTTAAAAAAAGAAATGCCGCAAGACAGCAAAGACAGCACCGTTCCCTTCGCACGAAGCCATGGCACAAAGGAAACGGGGTCCTTCGCTGAAGATCCACCAAGCCTTTGAGTGCTGCATGGACCGCCTCAGACGCGCTGTGAAAACCGCGACCTCGGCGGACGCGGGAGTCGCCCATCATGATGTTCGGCTCAGGGAAAGCACGTTGTTTCACACGAGTCAGGGCCACCGGGAAGCCTGAGCAAAGCAGCAGCGGCGGGTTCAAGGCAAGGGCCAGGGACGAATCCACAGCAGCTGCCGGCTTCAAGGGCTCCTCGAGACTATCTAGAATGGGGTACTCCAACTGCTTTCTCTTCTCCCCTAAGTAGAGACTTTGTTTTCATCCTCTCTAGTCCTGCCAGATTTGAGTCACGTGCTAGCAGTAACTCTTGCACCCCAGGAGGACACGAGCACCCAGCCCACCTCCCTGAGGGGCCAGGTTCCAGAGCACCTCCCCCAGGGGACGGTCCCTTGTGTGTACACTTAAACCCGGGACCCAAAGTCTCCCACATGCCACGACTGCCAGCAAAATCATCCTTAGTGACGCTGCCCCAGCCCGGCCACAACAGACCACCTCGGGTCAAAGCAATACAGCCACTTCCTTCACACTTTCCAGAGCCTACAGCTTGTCCACGAGCACATGAACGCCACACACATCACTTAAGTGGAGTGTCCAAAGCCCCCCATCCCAGCACACACGGCACATTTGTACAAGATTTCATTTGAAATTGGAAGAGAACGGTAAAAGTGTCCAAATGCGTAAGTATCTTTTTTGCACCTCTGAGTGTAGAATAAAATTAGAAGTAAATATTAGGACAGAATTGAACAGTAAATTCTAGAAGAGTTGGCTTGATTCAAACAAGTGTAATTCTTGAGTTAGCACAAAATTTCCCACAAAAATTTACAATCAGCAAAATATTTTCCTTATTTTTCATGTAGTATTTTTATACAATTCCATGGTTTTGCTATTATATGTTACAGTAAGCCTTCATTAGTCCCTCAAAACGATGGTATAAATAATCAGTCTGTACAACCTACCATAGAATAAAAAACTGAAGCCAAAATTCCCAATAGTTTTCATAGCAGCCGGGTACACTTTGGTGACCCCAATAAGAACCCTCTCAGCACCAGCCAGGAGTTGTTCATCTTCAGGAAGCAGGGCCTTTGGCCCCAACAGGGGGACAGGCAAGGCCATGGGGCCCTCAAACCCAACAGGTCTCAAGGCAAACCGGAGGGAGGAGTTCAGTCTGGGAGGAAGGGAGAACTCGTTCCTCGGCCACCCGAAACACCGGAGTGCCAGGAAAGCACTGAGCTGTCAGGGGCACACCTAGCCCGGCCACAGCAGCTCAGCAAGTTACAGCTCTACTTCAAGCTCCTACAGCAGCAATTTCAAGTGGGAAAGAACGCCTTATCTCCCCCTAGTTAAAGATAAAATCGTAAAGCAAAAAAAAAAAAAAAAATCAATGCTTGCATGAGTGGTGTCCATCCTGACCTGAGTCTCACGCTCCCTGCTGACCCTTCGCAGAGCCATGGGTTTCGGCACCTCCATGGGGACCCTGAGTCTAGACCGCTCAGAACCAACATCCGCACTAAGCACGAGATCATGCTCTGCAGCAGGGAACCATCTAAAAACCTGTGTTGACGTGTGGCTTGCATTGAAAAGCGACCAAGTAACTCAGCTGGGGAAAGTTCCAGTAGTATCCATGTTTTCTTAGAAGTCCAAACTGTAAAATGTATGTGACATTCAAGTTTTCTATGTTAGGAGTCTGGTGGAGGCAGATCCAAACCTTGGGTCTTATAATAAGGCTTTTCATATTAGAGAATTAGACACGAACCCTGGTTGGGAAGGAAGAACTCCCCAGAATGTCTTCCCAGGGCTTAACGGACACTTCCATTTTAAGAACGCAAGCAGCTTCCTGGGACATAGCACTCACGTCCTACATTCCTTGTCCCAGAAGATGTTTCTAGTGCTCTTCAATTCATGTCTCCAAGAGGCCATCCCAACTCAACAGGGGTTAAAAGCAAAAACATTCACAACCAAGAGTCACCCAACACAACAGAAAATAGCTCTATCATTCAACTTTCACATTCTATGTTCAAGTTTCAAAGACACTGCAGGAAAAAGTTAGACCTTGTGGAGAACTAATGTGCAATCTTCACTTTCCTTGAACCGAGTCGACATCACAGCGTTGTCTTTGGCATGTACAGTCTTTGAATAATAGTTGACTATCTTGCTGTCCAGTTTGTACTGATGAGGAATGCTCTCATAGGGCTTGAGGTCGAGGTCCAGCACGGACACGGAGAAGGCAAATCTGGACCTCGATGAAGGGACGACAGGCCTTTGATCAGAACTGCAAGTAAAAGAGCAATTTCAGAATACACAAACCTCCCAAATCCTCTCCTCCCAGCTCACGGCGAGCACCATTTGTGCATCTGTCTGTGCCAGCTGTGCGCTAGCCTGTGACGCTCCTGCCAGGGAGGTGGCCATGGAACAGGCCGGGACACACCATACCAGGTGAGAGAGGGTTAAAGGACTGAAAGATGGAAAAGCGATTATGCAGAATATGTGAGTGATATTTCCCCATCCCAGTGGTACAAGCAACGCTGAAAAAGTCACTTTATCGTGAGCCAAGTATTACAAAACCTAAGAAAAAGTAAAAAGTCAATCTGGCCATTCAAACAGCCAAATGGATGAAGTGTTGAGAACAGACTTCTCTTTATGTGCCTTTCCCGTGTCTGGTGAGAAACTCATGCTCCTTTATGCTCTTCATATTTGGAGAGAGATCAAGTTTCGTGTTTTTATTCCCGAATTGCATCTTCAGTGCCTTGTATTTTGTTTCCCAGGGTTTAGTTTTGTGGTTTTTATAAACAAGTAGTCCATGTGCTTACAACAAATTATGAACAATTGTACTTAAAAACACTTTCGGAGTAACTCTGAATCTTGCACTAAGATTGCTGCATGCCCCACTTTGTTCTTGCGGTACTCAGCACACGGCAAATGACGGACCACGTGGATCACATATATAGCTTAGGTTAGCCCAAGAGAAGTATTCTGGGGCTCTGGTTTCTCCAGGCTTACTACTGTTCTAGATTTAGAAATCAATAAACAAAACACCCATTTCAGAAGCCACCCCACATGGGAGAGGAAATGCCGACAAACGTGTTCCTGTTCTGATGATGCTGTCACGGCCAGACTCACTGAATTCCTGCTCCAAAATCCTGTTTATAGGAAAAATGAATCCTGACTCAGTTTCTGGGGTAATAAACTACTCTCTCCTGAATGGTAGACAACAGCAAATAACTTGTTACAAATCAAGGTCTTGAGCCTCGCTCTGGAAGCTGCAGCTCGTCCTCACTGGCCGTATTTTACTGAGAACCACTCAAGCCCAAGGCAGCGCTCAGTTCTGGGGCCTGAAACCTGAGCTCGGCACAGCCAGGCTAGGACAATCCACACCTCTGGCCCATGACATCTCAAATTTCTTGTGTCAGAAATGCAGCACCCAACAAGATGACACATATAAAGACAGGAAGGGTCTTTTAAGCAGCTCCTGGGGAAGGTCGGACTTCCTGGGCAGCAGCCAGTGGCACCGGCTCCTGACACTGAAATGCTTTTCTGACCCTCAGCAGCCCTGAGGCGGAGACCAGGTGGGAGGCTCCCAAGGACACAATTGTCCCTCATGCCATGAGCTGCTCTCTCTGGCAGCCTTAGAGAATGGGGCTAGGACGACCTGCTGGCTGCAGAGGAGCTGTCCTCGCCTAGACAGCCGACCAGCGGCCTCCATGGACACCGGGGAACGGGCTGGAGAAGCCAAGGCAGCAGCTGCTGCCTGTGCTGTATTTGAAACAGGAAATCAAAAGGAGCAGCAGGGTTTAGGGATGGGAGGCCGTGGGCAGCTTTTCCTGCAGTTCCAAAATCCCAAAAGGTCAAACATTTGCAGCAACAGGAAGGCGGAACCAACTTAAGACTTTTTCTTTTATGACAGGGCAGACACAGCAGAGCAGAGCTAGAGAAGCCTCTGTTTTAGGTGGTGTGAGAAGTTCAAATGTAGTTGACCTAGGTATGAGCCGTAAATGAAAGCTTACGGATCTAAATTTAGTCTCAGGTATATTGTGCATCTCAAAGATGACTAGTGACATATCCCAGTCTTGGTTTGTCTCTGGGATGCTAGAGCATCCCCGGGCCACGGCCCCCCACTCACTGCAATGTCCCAGGTACAGCCTCTACCCACACACTCCTCAAGGCAGGCAGGCCAAGCCACCCGGGCTTGTACCAGGACGCTCAAAGGCCCCTGCGCCCCGGGGGTGTTCTCCAAGGAGAAGCTCCCTCTGTGGTGTCCACTGTCCTTTGAAGACCCTTCTGCAAGGCAAGTGCGGCAGTGGCTACGCCTGCAGGCGTCTGTCCACTTTCTTCCTGCTGCCACGTCTCTCCTTCCACTCTGCCGGGTGGGGTCTGGGCTGCTCAAGCCCCTTGGCCCACGGCCCCTGCTCTCACCTTGGGAACCGACCTCCGCAGGCAGGACCCACTTTTCTTCCTCTTCAGAATTCTCCACAAACGCACGTCAGAATTTTAAGGTCTCCATTCCCCTTCAACTTGATCACAGAATTCTAAACCTTTTATGTTTAATTTCCCCAAAGTCTAAGGTTCATGTCTAATTGGCAAAGTTTTTCAAACACAAAGCTTACATGTGCACATTTTAAACATTTCACATTTTAAGATTAAGCTTAAATCAGTGTTGATGAAACACTTAAGACTGGGAATGCTTTCCCTTATCCATCTTTCCTTTGTCCTTAATTTGTTTTATCTCCCATCTTTAACTGTAATTCAAATTTTATTTTGAGAGCCAGGATCTCACTTGCCACTCAGGCTGGAGTGCAGTGGCACGATCATAGCTCACTATAACTCTGAACTCCTGGGCTCAAGCGACCTTCCCGCCTGAGCCTCCCAAGCAGCTGGGGCTGCAGGCGCGCCGGCACTCTGGCCTGCAGTTCCCATCTATCCGTGCAGTTCTTACTGCAGCATGAAATAAGCTCCCGCACCTGGGAAAGTGCTCAGGATGTTAAAAGACAAAAAAAAGGACACAAATTACAAGTTTAATAAGCAGGTGGCTGTACCGTAATTCAGTCATGTCCATACTTTGCACATTAAGACTGTTTCAAATTTTCAAATCAGAATCATGCTGCAGGGCACGTGCCCGACAGTGCCGGACCTCTGAGGGCTCCTCGGATACGAGTTCTTGACGTGAGATCTCACCCAACAGCTCTATTCAAGTCACGCTGCACAAGTGGAGCGTCTGCTTTATTTCATCCTCTCCCTGGTGGGTGTCCCTTTTTCCCTCCAATTCTGGCCAACCAGACAAAGGCGAAAGGAAGAACTGGGCCGGGTTGACCCTTTCACCTCGCCCAGCTGTTCACATCCCTGAGACCCTGCCCTGTCCTATGTCTCACTGCTTCTGTCACTTTCAAGCCACTAACAGTCTGCCCTTATTTTTTTTAAGAAACCTGAGACATTCTCCCCTTGTCTCTGTCAAGAAAGGTCCAGAGGTAGCACCTTGCGAATGATGATCCCTGCACCTCCACCCCGAGTCTGAGATGCCAGAGGCTTAGAACCTTCTGGACACACCCTCCTGCCCCTCCCACTGTGTCGGTCTCTGCTGAGCAGCTGATCAGGGGTGTAGCTGGGACCCCAGGCCCTCAGCCCTCCCCTCGTGCTGCATTTCCATTTTGACACCACTGCGTCCTGTGCTGGAAGAAGTAAACGTGTCTGTCCTTCAGTGGCCTTTCGCGTCCCACCCGTTAGTCTATGAACCAACCTTTTTTGCAGCTTTACCCGAGCACTCTGCATTCAAGCACACTTCCATTTCCCAGCTGCACCCTTGGTGACAAAGGGTGGTGAATAATAGTATCTTTATGGGTTTCCTCTCATCTTACACCACCAGCTTAATCCAGCTAAGGGATTCCTCATAACTAAGCACTGACAATATTTTGTTAGGGGATAAAAGTACTTTCAGCGGAACAGAATGACCTTTTTTTTGTACTTCAGTTACACCCTACAATGTTCCTCAGTATTTCATATCGAAAAGTGGGACTGCTGGCATCTCCCTTCTCTTTCTTTCGGATGCCATGCCATCTCTCTGCTCTCTTCCCTACCCCCCTTCTCTCTCTTTCTCTCTCTCTCTCTCTCTCTCTCTCTCTCTCTCTCTCTGTCCTTCTAAAAGATAAAATAAATTTTCCTTTTATATCTTAAAAAAAAAAAAAATGAAAAAAGAAAAGTGGGCAATTCTGTGCCTGCCAGGGAATAGGAATCCTGGGAACTGTTTAGTTCAAAAGCATCAGAAAAATGTGTGGCTGCAGCCGGCGCCCAAGGTCATCTTGACCCAGGAACACATGTTAGAAGAATGCAGAACATTCTACAGATACTGTATGTAGGCTTTGGCACTCCTGAAGACGCTAATTACTGTAAGAAGATTATCAAATTCACCCTGAATTTCTAACACAGGTGACAGAGGGACTGGACAAAAATAACGGCGTTCGGGGAGAGGCTGCACACGTGCTGATACTCGGAAGAGGAAGGAGAACAAGGAATGTGTCGTTTTAAAGGCTTTGAAATGACTGGGCGGGAAAGTTGGCACATTGTGCTGACGTGGTAGCAGACCAGGGGACGGGGCCCACGGGAGCCTGGGCAGGTGCTTGGGCTTCGAGAGAAAGGAACGTGCAACACACTATCCACACTGCCTTTGAGCCCTGGGAGTATCTTCTCAGAAAATTAATAGTAATTTTCAAGTAATAGAACAATATTTTTTAGTTATTCTCCATAAATATGTCTGACCGAATTACAAGCTTCTAGAGGGCACGAGTTAATAAGCCCCATTATATCAAGTAGGCCAAGGAGGTCTCGGTCCCGTCAGGGAGTCTGTACATACGGGGAACCCACTGTCCTGTGAATCCACAAAACCCTGTCAGACCCAGAACACGCGACGCAGCGCCTCACCTCGCATCCTGCAGGCAAGGGGAGAGCGCGATCATGATGGAGCAGTCCTTGGCGGTCATGGCCACTCTGTACTGCTGCACCTGCGGGGAGGGAGAGGTCAGCTCCGGGTCACGCGGGAGGCCTCGCTGCCACCAGCACAACCTTCCCACCCACCAGGCACGGGAACGGGCTCCTGTGACAGAACACGAGGGCGGGGTTAGAAGTGGGCGACACTGAGTGGGGAATCAGGAGGTCCCCGCTGTGAGAGCACCTGAGCCAGCGCCAGCCCCGAACGGCTGCTCAGAGGCCACCTCCGCCCTCCAACCTCTCACTGCAAGCAGCGTGTGGGACCCTAATTCCAGACCCTGAAACTTATGACTTGCTTTTAGCAAAGTCACCACCGTCTGCCTCAGGAAGGAAAAGCAGTAAGATGCCTCAGCTCCAGGGCACTGGCCACAGTGACAGCACTGCGCAAGCACCCGCGACACCCTTGAGAAGACGGGCGCCCAGGGTGTTCAGCAAGGCGTTGCTCACGCCAACATTCCACGCGCCATAAAGTGACAGCCACCATGGATGACTCTACAGACAGCTGCCATCCCATGGGCTGTATGTGTGTTCATTTATTTCACCCGTACAACAGCCTGACACTGTCCCACTTTATAGACGAGGAGACAGACACAGAGAATAACCTGTCCCCATACGCTGCTAGGCGATGGCAGGGCTGGGACGCAAGCGGGTGCTTTGGCTCTGAAGTCTGTGCCCTCCAACACCTTGCTACGAGCCTATGTGGGTCTGTACATCCTGACCTGGAACAGCAGCTGGCAGGGCCACCAACTCAAGTCACAGCATGCTTTGAAGAACCCGACTCACATAAAGCTGTGCCTGTGCTCATCTGTGTGTCAGACACGCAGGACCAGAGCCGAAAGGACGGTCAGAAAAATGTTCACAGTTGACACCTCTGCAGAGCAGAATTTGAGGCATTTTTTTTTCCCTTTCCTTCTTTGGACTTTCATATATTGTTTGAATTTTTTAGGATTGAATAGCTCTAACTTTACAAAGATAAACTAGTTACAAAAAAAGGAATTTAGCCTTCCACATGATCACTGGCCTCAACATTTATATTGATGACAGCCCATAATCTCTGTCTCCCTGTATCCATTCCCCTTGATTTCATACGACCAGGAGGATCTGCCCTTTGGAAACATACAAGTTGTGCCTTCCAAAAGGCAGGCCTGGGTGGGAAGGAGAACCTCAAAGCACAGTGGGAGGAAACGCACAGCTCCTATCCTTACACTCTATTTGTGTAGCTAAGGAATCAGTTATTTCACATAATACACACAAAAAAAACCCAGCTCAAAAGAATAAAGAACTACATATAAAAAAGTATAAAATATTATGTTCTTAGTGCACTGCAAGCCTTTCTAACCAAGACACAAAACCTAGAAGCCATAAAAGACTCACAGATTTGAAAACCTAAAAATTAAACAGCTTTGGCTGGGTGCAGTAGCACGCACTCTAGTCCCAGCTACTTAGGATGGCTTGAGCCCAGCAGTTTGAGTCCAGCCTGGGCAACAGAGCAAGACTCAATCTCTAAAAAATAAAAATAAACTTAAAAAATAAAAGCTTTTATATGATACAGTCATAATTCAATGATAAAAGACAAATGAAAGATTGGGAGAAAGTATTTACAACATATAACAGATTATCAACATCAAAAATATATGAATTGCTAGAAATCAATACGGAAAAAGAACAGTACCCCAAAAAGTGGACCAAATAAACTGACAAAAGAAAAAAATATACACACATACATATATATATATGAAAATATGCTCGATGTTACTATAAATCAAGGAAATGCAAATTATAAAGATGAAATATTTTCCACTCATCAGTTGGGCAAAACTGTACACACATACCCGGAGGTGGCCCTCCACACTGATGAATTCCTATGCAGGACCCACAGACATGGAGGGCCATGGTGGACTCAAGCATCTGCAGATTTTGGTATCCACAGGGAATCCTAGAACCAATGCCTCAAGGACACCGATGGACAGCTGCGTGCATGTGTGTATATTAGACACAAAATGAACGGGACTTTCACTTTAAGTAATGCAGGAAAAGGTAACTGGGGCCAACCCAACTGCTGAGGCCAACTAAAAGAGCTGGACAACATATCAAAAATATCTGCTTGGAGGCAGAAATAACAAGACAGGGAAGAATTGCTGGAACAGAGGAGGACAAAGGCATTGGGTCTGCTTATCCAAGAGAGAGATGTGACATTTCTGGAGGATCGGCCAAGGGGCACAAAACTCCAGGGCTACAGGGACAGTAACCATGAACCCCCTCTTTGGGTTAGTACTCAAAACACTGTACTTTTAAGATTAAAAGTGAGCCAGAGTTGACAGGCTCTAGCAAGAGCTGCAGCTTTACTTCAGAGATCAATCATCAGAACTGGATTAAAATGACTCCAGCTACTAGTGTTTCCCAGGCCTCAGACAGAAGCAAACCTAAAATTCTCCCTAGAAGAAGATATGATCCTAGGCCTTCAGTTATTTCTAAAATAATTTTGCAAATACAATTTCTGGCACACAAGCAAAATTATGCAGACAGAAGAAGACACAATGACATGAACGAAAACCAGCAAAAACAAACAAAAAAACCTCGCAGTGGGCGAGAGGTATATGGGAATCTCCATACCTTCCACTCAGTTTTGCTGAGAACCTAAAATTGTTCTAAAATATAAAGTCTATTAAAAAAAAAAAGAAAGCTGCAACTGAAAAAAGAAAAAACCCACAACAGAAAGAGTTGCACAAATACAGACTCCAGTTATTGGAGGTACGAGACACACATGCTGCACTGCTCAAAGAATAAAAGAACAAAACAGAACTTGAGAGAACTGGAAAACATAAAAATGAATCATGTAGAAATTCTAGAACTAAAAAGCACCAAAATCAATATCAACAATTTAATAAGGCTGGGTGCAGGGCTCATACCTATAATCCCAGCACTTTGGGAAGCCGAGATTGGAAGATTACTTGAGGTTAGGGGTTCAAGACCAGCCTGGGCAACACAGTGAGACCCTGTCTCTATAAAAATTTTAAAATTAGCCAGACATGGTAGTCTGCACCTGTAGTCTCAGCCACCTGGGGAGACTGCAGCAGGCGATCACTTGAGCCTAGTTCAAAGGTGCAGTGAGCTACGATTGCACCACTGCACTCCAGCCTGGGCAACAGAGAGTGAGACCCTGTCTCTTAAAAATAAATAATTCAACAGACAGTTTAAACAGCAAATTAGAAAAAAACTAAAGAAAGATTGTAACATCTAGGTAGATGGGGATAATTTCAACAAATCTAACAACAATTGATAAAAGACCAACTAGCCTTTCTCCTGATTGTGGCTCCTCTTGGGGTATCATAGCTAGGGTTACAGGGAAGGAATTATTATCCTGGGTGTAGCCCTGTGTAGGCGGGGAAAATGCAAAGCCTTTGGCATGAGCTGAGGAGGCAGCTGACTATTGTGGTTTGAAGATTTTGAAGTGCCTTTCACTGTTTCTTCCAATGCTCCTGTAATCCCCACACCATTTACTCTTTTGAGCTAAAATGCAAATATTATTTAGGAAATATAACACTGCCACATAAACTAGTTTTCTAAACTGAATTATCCATGAAGTTATGGGTTAGACAACGAAAGGTAATAATTTGGGGGTCAGTGGACAAGGCAGAAAGGTAAGAAAATGAAAAAAGAAAAGGAAAAAGCTAAAGAGAATTGCCAAACTGGAAGTTAGATCAAAAGAAAACATCTAGAATGAAGCATGGAAAGAAAATCAGCTGGAGATACAAAGGGTAAAGACATAGAAGATAAAAGAGAATGTGTCTAATCTACATGTTAAGTGGGGTCCAAAAAAAGGGAGGAAATGGATAAAACAAAACTTTAAAAAGTTAAGGCCAAACTTTCCCTAAACTGAAGAAACACCAGGCCACAGATTCAAGAAAGCCTCCAAAAAATATCGCGTACATGTATCATTAAACAGAAACCACGAATTCATCACCAGCAGACCCACACTGAAGGAGACATTAAAGAGTGTTCTGCACACAACAGAATGATCCACGGATGAGCGCAGAGACACAGGGCGGAATGAAGGGCAACGCAAAAGATAAACGTGGGGAAATGAATTATGACTGTACGTAACAATAATAACAATGTCTTCTTGAGTTTAAAATAATAGAATTCACAGCAGCAATAACAATGTAAGGGAGGAGCAGTAGTAAAACGGATTCTAAGAACCTTGCCTTGTCCAAGAAGGTCAAAGTGCTAAATAATATTAGACTCTAAGTCAACTGCTTGCTGCACTAGCTAGGATAACCACTAAATGAAAAGCAAAAGGCTGTACAACCTTCAGGCAGAGTGGGGACAGAGAATGATAATAAAAAATAATAACCCAACAGACTGTGAGAGGAGAGGAAAAGAAATCTAAAATAGTTAAGAAAAATTTAAAAGTTGAAGCCCAAATCTAAGTCTAATTAAATGACAAAGACAAAATATCAGAATGGATAAAAAACCAAATCATGCCACATTTAAAATACAAAGACACAGGTTAAAAATGAAATGATGGAAAGACATACAGTGCAAATATTAAGCAAAAGAATGAGAGAAGTTACACTAATATTAGATGAAGCAAACCCGAAGGTAAAAAATATGACCAGAGATAAAAGACACTTGACAATGATAAATGACCCTTCAAAATGAAAAATTCAATTCACAAGAAAGATGTAACAATTCTAAATTGGAGGCACCTAACAAAATAGCCTCGAAATAAACAAGAAGAAATAGACAAATCCATAATTATGGAAAATTTCAACCCATCTTTCTTATGGAACAAGCAGATAGTAAAATCATTATCGACTGTAGAAGATATGACCACCACAATTAATTTGACTTGATGGGCAGATATAGAACAATGCACCCAACAATTTCAGAAGACACCACCTTTTTTAATGAAACAGAAGCATTATTTTTAAAAGTTAATCTATAAAGCAAGGCACAAGAAACTTTAAAGGATTAAATGCCAATCTCAACAAATTTCACAGGATCATATAGA